GGGTGTGGTTGTCGAATCTGGTCCTCGCGAAGCCCTCCTGAATCCTTGGTGCTCGGAGACGCGTCTCGCGAAGCCTTTGTCGCCCTTCGGATGGTTCTCTTTCTGCTTGGCGAAGCCCTTCTGGAGTGTTAGCGTTCTATATACTTACGTTTGATGCTACCCAAAGCCCTCGATCGCCCGCGATGCTGGGCGAAGGGGTTGAAGCACGACAAAGAATTGTGGACAGAGTGAATGATGTGTCTTTGGCTCGTGGCCCGAAAAATAGATGTCATTACAGGAGCTCTTCCCTCCATATTTATAAGGGAGGAGAGTTCAATATTACAGTCATGCCATTAGGTAATTCTGTTACGTCTCTAAGATTTAGGCTTCACACTGGCTCTTGTCATTGTTCCTTCGCCTGGCGTTGGCGTTGAATACCCTTCGCATGATTCAGCGAGCCTTCGGCATTATCTCCAATACTTGACAAGTTAACTATCACATTGAAAGCAAACTTATAAAATCAATTTGTAGTATTGATTGTAGTTTGTGCACCAAATTGGTTGTGTTATGTTGTTATATGTTGGACAGGGGTTGAAGATACAATTTCAATGAATTACCAACTATATTGTCCGTCAATGTTAAGCCGTAATCTTAGTTCTCTATGTTGCGCTAGGAAAGCTACTCGTCTTCCATTGGATATGGTCAGTGGCTCAGCGCGCACGCAACCCCACCGACAGATATGGTGGGCATGAAATCAATGGAGGGAAATGGAAGCATGCTCCAACCTCGCTCTGTCTACTCAAATCGTGTCATTAGAATTTTTTAGTTTAGTTCAGCAAATTATGTAGATAGTAGGTACGTTATCAGGAAACGGTCGTCTACAAGTCCTCCTGCTCACGTGCTGTATCCAACGCGTGGTATAATTCAATTGTTGCCGGTGAAGGGTGGATTTCCAAAATATTCGTACTAATGCGGCAGCTGCAGCTGCATGCCCTCAGCACGGATTGCAAAGCAACATGGGTGACTGGTATTAGCGCCTTTCTGAGATGGCAAAGGTGGATTTTCAACCCTCTCCTGCGTGTTTTCTTTTTGCCACTTTTTGGACAAGGAGCGAGCCACCTAGGCCAAGCTCGCGCCATCCCTGCGTTCTTGCACTTTTCACGGTGGCTTGAGCGTCCACGTGGATAGCGGCGCAAACACCGTACGCGATCTCCCCGGTAGCCGTGAACCCGCCTCCGTCCTCGTCGCACGTGTTCTCGCTCTCCTAGTCCTCAGCGGCATGCGGTTCACCGCGGCACCTCATCCACGGCCGTGAATCGCGCCGACACCCAAGCCGAAGGCGAAGCCGGCCAAGCCCGGCCTGTGGGACGCGCTGGCCTTCAGCGGCCCGGCTCCGGCCGAACGCATCAACGGCCGCCTCGCTATGGTGGGCTTCGTGTCCGCGCTCGCCGTCGAGGCGTCCCACGGCGGCGGGCTGCTCTCGCAGGCCGGCAGCAGGTCCGGGCTGGCCTTGTTCGCAGCAACCGCGGCCGTGCTGTCCATGGCGTCGCTGGTGCCCGTGCTGCAGGGGGAGAGCGCGGAGGCCCCGAGCAAGGGGTTCTGGAGCGCTAACGCCGAGCTCTGGAACGGCGGGTTCGCCATGCTCGGCCTTGTCGCGCTCGCCTTCACCGAGTACCTCACTGGCTCGCCGTTCATTAACTCGTGAACGTGAGACGCGCCCCGTGCGTGCGTGTATGGTGTATGTGCCTCTTCTAGGACATGTAGACGAGTGTATGTACGTGTACTGGATTGTCATTAATTCATTTGATAGCTTGGATACATTGAAGCAAAATTTCAAAAATGTTATCACGGTTTGTATCGTCTGGATATTTCTCTTACACCACTGACAGAATTGAACCATACGGGGTCATAAACACCTTCAATCAACTGTTGATGGCAATCTCGATCGTAAGCTTAAAATACAGACTTTGTAACTGTATGGTTACTTAGATTTAATCATATATTTATGCTATTCGACAACTTGCAGATCCCAAATACCGTGGACTTTTGCAGCGAAGACTATGGATGCCTAATCACTAAATGGACATGGAAGATTTTCCCTGCTGTCAGGGGATACCCACCTTAAACCGTGGAATAATAGCCAGAAGGCCACTCCTAAGCGGCGTCATCTCCAGAATGTCACTACTAAAGCGTGCTTATCTTCTACAGCCGGTTGAAATGATGCTCATGCCCTTCTTTTGCTTATTCCTCCTCTGCTCTAGACTCCTCTGCCTCTCTCGCCCGACGCTCGGGCAAGAGCCCGCCGCCGCGACGCGTGGGCAGGAGCCTCGTGACCTTGCAACGCTGTGCGCCACCACAGCTCGAGCAGAAGTACCGCTGCCAACATGTGCGCCACCGTAGGAGGAGGAACAACTTTACTAGTGGCGTTTTGGAGCTGTCCTCCTTAGTAGCGTTTTGGAGATGGCGCCAGTTAGGAGTGGCATTATGGCTATTATCCCGCACACCGTTAAAAGCCCAAAGCTCTTAAATAGGCCCATTAAAATTAATAATTTGGCTTGACAATGAACTAACCTGTTATTAGTTCAATTACTATGGGCAAGGTTTATCGGCAGATGACATTGGTGGTATACTTTGAGTGTGTAAACTTAATTTCTGTGGACCTACGAGATAACACAAGAGAATGTTTTCCAAAAAGAGAAAAACATGTCATATCTATTGCTTTGAGCTCGTTAAGCTTAGGTCAACGTACAACAACATCCAGGTGTAAATTACTTTGGGTGGAATGGACCAGGCGTCCATGGTTTTGTTAGTTTACATCACCTGATGGATAAAATTGAAGATGGGGAAGATATTGTATTTGCAACAAATCAAATTCTTTTGGATTCGGTGTATGACCCGAACCGCCCAGGTACTAGCACCATATTAGAATGCCCTAGTTTGATGTTTCTATTACTCATGTTGAGTCATTGTTAGTTTATGATTTGACACAAACTATATGAGTTTTGTGCCGGTCAATATACCCACTATTTGAGAAATGACGATTCTAACTGGAATTGATCCAATCAACAAATGGCTTGGTTACAAGTGCAATCCTTATAGGACCTTAGCATCATCACACACATTTTTTGCAATTGTTTATTTCAAGTACTACTCTTGTAATTGTTCATTAAAATAATAAACATTTTCTACAGAAAGATTATCATGGATACATCCAAAAATACTAAATTTTTCTTTAAATTCATGACATCTCTTTTTTCTAGATCAAACATGTATTCAACACAAAATTATGGGAATGCAATACTTATTTTTTTTCAAATATATGTAGAAATGGTATCTTAGGGAGGAATCTGGAGCTATATAGTGAGCACTCGGGTGCTTCTCTCGTGGTCATTGTTGGGGGTCGTGTATGACAAAGCACGAATTTTATCTTTGCCCAATTATGCCTTTACATACCTTGCACTAACTATTGATGCATGACAAGTGTCGTCTTAATAAACATTCTTTGTGCCAATGTTTTGGCTCTAGAAGCACCCCTTAAACCCAATCCTATATTATGTTGTCTTGATAAACATTCTTTGTGCCAATCTGTATGGGAATTGAAAGCAAATTGATATAATCAATCAGTCGCATTGCTTGCCGTTTGTCCACTAAATTGGATGTGTTATATATTGTTCCATGTTGGACAGGGGTGGGTGGGTGAAGATTAAGTATCTGAGAATTCCCAACTCTGTGGACATTATAGTTTCATAACCACGTGTTTGGTGTAATGGCACAAAGCGGCTCGCGACACTTCATTCTTTCATATCATTATGTCCTACATACAAAAGCTAACATGAATATAATGTCCCGTTTTTTCCACCACACTTGTCAACACATTTCCGCAAGCTTTCGTTTGGCAAATTTGGTGGCAAAACCCCACTCCAGGCTTACCCGTGGTAGCCATCATCGTACAGGTCCAAAAAATCAATAACCTACGAAAATGATAATAACCATTTGAACCAAAAGTCCAAATAAGTCATATTATCCGCGCCAATGTGAAGACATCTTATCTTATATTTACTAATTGGAGGCTCCTTTCGGTGCCTCCACGTTAATCGATGGAAAATCCTAGAAATTACCACAAAAAAGCAAAACATATGACCGTATATTTAAGTGCTTAACAAATTGTGACCATTAGATGTACATAACCATCACGTATAGGAAGTGGACTCTCAATTCTCACGGCATCTACGGCAGGCACAGGCTTCGTATGCGAAAGGATCTCCCACATCAGCAACAACAAAGCAAAATATCCGGTCGCCGATAGGTGGTTAAGAAATCGTCACCGTTAGATATTTGACTAAAACATTTGGGCGAATCCTGTGGGACATGTTTCTTGATGCCGAAGTATTCCTGACTACCGACTCACATGTTTTCACTTGGGAACATGTGAGATCTTTCGTGATACAATTTCCAGTTCTTCAACACAGATATGCTTCTACGAGAATCAATAAAGACACTTATCTGTCAGGTATAACCATATGACTAGCTTATTTACATTATTTTTTTATTCCAGTTGATTAGTGCATTTCAGTAAAAACAATCAAATTGCTAGCCCGTCAACCCGTGCATTTGCACGGGCTAGCAATTTTGCAATGTTGTGTTAATTTCTTTCGAAAAGATTTTATCAATGCATAGGTTTTCATTTTTGTCGTTGTTTTGAAATTTATTTTGACCATTTGAATACTTGTTGGTCAATTTCTTTACTTATTTACATTCATTTAGAAATTTTCTAACAATTCACTTAAAATATTCTTGGTTTCATATTTCATTAGTGTTTTGAGAACATATTTGAGAATTTCTGTAGGCTGTAAACCATCACATCACTAAATTTGAGAACGTGTTTTATGCCTTTACTCTAGAGATAAATAGGTATATTTGAAATAGTAAAATTCAGATATTGTAAGAAGAGCAAAAATAAGATTATTTAAGAAGAATAATGATGAGTGGAAAAAATAGAAAATTCCTTAGCTGGATAAGGGGCGGATGTAGCCAAGTGGATCAAGGCAGTAGTTGTGAATCCACCATGCATGTGCGGGTTCCATTCCCATCATCCTCACATCACATTGCAATAAAATTTTCCATATTCCAAGTTAGTATTTACTAACGACGACGAAGAATAGAACTATCACTATATTTTTTCCTTTTCCTAGTTCTTCTTCCAAGCGCTGGATAACCCCAAGGGGTTGTGGGTTTTTTTCTTCCAAGGGGATTAATGTTAGCATAGTGCACTGCAAAAATATTGTGGCGATGATTGCGACCCAGTGCTTCTAGCATTGGAAATTTCAGGAATAAGCATAAAAAGTAATATGCGATTACAGGAAAGATAAACCGATCTTTCAACTTGTGTGACTGCAAAGATAGTAACATGAAAGATGAATGAGTATTATAAATTTGATCTATATTTACCTTGAGTCACATCATTTTCAACTTCTACTGTAGGTTTCTTCCGCGTCCTGTGTCAAGTGTCAACCGGCATGCAGGTTGCTCTGACTGCCGCTGGGAATTCCTGTGAAAAATCCTGTAGCTAATCACCGGAGAAGGAGACATCGACTGAAATCAAGTCTTGCAAAGGAGATCTGCCAATAGTGGTATCCTTGTTCTAGCAATTTGCAACCAACCACAGGCTCTCGTTTGATGTTTTCCCTCCTTGAATGGGCAGTTCCTGAATTGCCAAGCTACTTTGGGCGCGGTAGGAAGCATATAAGTCTACCGCGCTGGTGCATCACCTGAAATACACCAACATGACGCCCTATCTCGTGCTCGCCGTCAAATTTTTATATCATCTTCAAGTTAAACCATGAGGAAACCGCCACATATCCCCAGCTAACCGCAACCCAGCTTGTCTACGTTAATTTACTTAAAGGAAAAAAGCTTGTACATACTGAACATCAATTACTTTGGTCTATCTTCTGCACCGCATCTCCAAATCCACATATCTCTTGCATTGAAGTACATGCAAGCTTATTGAATTCATTCACCTTGGTGAGCAGCTTGAGGATGGTCGAGGAGGAAGCTGACCATGTCCCTGACGATCTTGGATACTGCCTTCTCGGACTTCTTGCCAATGAGCAGTCTGCTCTCGCCCATATCGACGACGGGCGGCCGCGAGGACGGACAATTAGAAAAAAAGAAATTGCAGTCGCAGCAAACTTGGTGGCATCAAGATCATGAAATCCTGCTATAATCTCAGATCATCAAATCAAAGCTTCATTGCCGGACTAAGTTTCGTCTCGTTCGATTTCATTGTCCCTAAATAGAGATCGTCGTCTTGGATTTAGCTCTGACCCAGATCGAATTCTTCAGATCCGGATTCTGCAGCATCACGGCAGGAGAGGACCTCATCTAAGGGGCTGTGGATCTTACATGTATGTTTGTATTATGGATAGATGAGATCCAACAGACCTATGCATCTGAGTCATCGTGGAGTTCATCACAAATACGTTCCCAAGTGGAAACATGTGAGTCGGTAGTCGGGAATACTTCGGCATCAAGAAACATGTCACACGGGATTCGCCCAAATGTTTTAGTCAAATATCTAACGGTGACGATTTCTTAACCACCTATCGGCGACCGGATGTTTTGCTTTGTTGTTGCTGATGTGGGAGTTCCTTTCGCATACGAAGCCTGTGCCTGCCATAGATGCCATGAGAATTGAGAGTCCACTTCCTATACGTGATGGTTATGTACATCTAATGGTCACAATTTGTTAAGCACTTAAATATACGGTCAGATGTTTTGCTTTTTGTGGTAATTTTTAGGATTTTCCATCGATTAACGTGGAGGCACCGAAAGAAGCCTCCAATCTATCTATTATATATATACTAGCAAAAATGCCCGTGCGTTGCCACGGGCTAGCAAAAAAAAAGCCCCTCGATATTGTTTTAATGGACTTATTAATGTTACTGATATAACCATATTATGTTTGTTTAAAATTTTATTATTTAAACATTATAAGAGATTATTAGATAATATATATAATATTCAAAATACTTTGAAGTTATATAGCATCACACCAGTTATTTCATATAACTATTCATTTGTGTTGTTCAAAGATTCAAATTCCCAAGTTTTTTTATGGGCAACATGATCCAATAATTTACACTTTACATGGAAAAAACACAAGCCGATGGACAATAGACTAAACATCATGGGGAAAAGTCTGATATGCTGACAATCATTTTTAAAAAGGCATAGCACAAACATGAATGGATTTCACAAAAGACCAAAAAAAAATCCTATCTACAAAATCCCAATTCTATCACTGCAACCTTTGGGATTGCTTGACTTCACAAGCCCTTCCCAAAACAGGTTCAAAAAAAAAAAAAACAAGCCCTTCCCAAAACAGATTGGCAATCACCTCTAAACATTAAAACCTTATAAGAAATGAATAATACTAGAACCAAATATGGGTTGAAGTATGTGTCAGCTTCTATTGTTTTTCTGGGACTGATGCACATAGATGTCTCCTCTAAAACAAGAGTTACACCATCTCATTGGCATTCATTAAGTGTAGCGAGCAATGGCTAGAATCCAATGATCAATATTTATGTAGGAAAATTAATCTCTCTTATTTGATCCAAGGATGTCAATCTTTCTTTTCATGCACCTGCCAGATTATCTGCAAATGACAAGAAAAAAATAATCAGAAGAAAGCCAGCAAGTTCCTTGACCATTGCTGTGGTTCTAGAGGAAACCATCACAAATCATTATCCATTATAACGAAAAAATTCCAAACTACTGCTGAAGGGAACATGCAATGACTATAGGGAAAACATTACAGATCATTGTCCAAATTAATGAATAAGTTCAGATTTCAAAATTACAAATCAAATACACACATCGTATCATGCTAAATGCAAAAATAAAAATAAAAAGTTATTGTCTCAAGTGACAAAAACACGCTTTCTAAAACCGATATGAGCAAGTTCCCTCCACATTGAACTCTTGGGCTAGTGGTAGTAGAAGATGCATGAGTACAGCTATTTCATAGAAAAGTTACAGCATTGATGGAAACAATATATGTGTTTAAATTATTTTTGTTGGCTAAAAATTATCTAGTCAACAATGATTGGAACTCTATTTATTTGTTCCTGAAGTGGTAGGTAGTTTTTTTTCATGAGGTTTTGATTGAACTGGAGATTTAGTCAGTTAGACATTTGAAACCGTGAAAGAGAAATTTGCATTTTTGCCATACAGGATTGTGTCCCTTTCAACTAACAGATATACATTTCACATTAGGCAACTACTTATTTACATATATATTGTTGGTCAAAGTTCAATAAAAATTTAAAATCGGAGGGAGTAAAAAGGGAGTAGATCATCTCCCTTCTCTCTGCATCCTTCCTCGTCCTTGTATTTCAACATGTTATTTTGCTTTATGCATGAATACTCTCTTATCTACATCTAACAATAGTAGATTGCCATACTGTATCTTAATGTGAATTTAAAAAAGAAAATATAGTTTGGGTTGTCATGATGTACTGAGTTGTTATTGTCCTTCTCTTTGAATTTCTTCACCTAATATTTTGATTCACAGTTCGTTGAATGTATTAAATATATAACTACTTTGCCCATTTGAAATCCAACACTTCAGAATAGGGGCCCTAGCTTTTTATCCACTAATGGGCTTTATTTTGTGTTTCACTGATTTGAACTTTTACAGATAAATGTAAACTGATGTCAATAACAGAGTTTAAACAACCGCAAACAACAAAGATATATCTATGGACTTTGGGAATCATATCATAGGAAACTTTTTCTGCTATCCTAAACCGATGGACCTGTCCCTCAAATCCAACAAAACAATTTATGGATCTGATGAATGTTTAAGCATGTTGATCGAATCTGCTTTGATGTTATTCAAGATAATAATATGTGAAACATCTATATATGCTCGATTTCCGTACATGTCTTGGATTTTTTTTTTTTTGTCAAACGTATCAAAGGGTGATCCTATATACAGTTCATGCATGTGTGATTGATTTTGCCTCTAGTTTGTCAACATACCTGGGAAGTCAATCAAGATTCAACGCACTACATATCATATTCAACCTCTAGCCCATGTCACTTCTTGGCTCTGCGTCCGCCATAATTGCAGGGTGCTCCAACAACGCTGGACATATCTAAAGTATGGGAAGCATACTGGACCCTGATATCTCTGCGCTGCTCACGTGCCATGGAAGAATACTTTGTCTGAAAAAAAAATCAAGAAATAACAGAAACCTCAAGAATATTAAACGTCCAATTAAAAGTTTTGTCCATGCAAATTCTGACGTGCTCATGTATATATAGCCATCCTTGCCATCATGTCGGATTACATTCGTTGATCAATATAAATTGATGGCTCGAATTCCATTGGATGAAACTAAACATTGTAAACTGAAGTAGTTATACCTTTCGATGTCTCTTTTTTTTACTGGTTTGCAGGCTGGTCAGCACTACAGAAAACTTCCACCTTATGTTTCGTTTCTTTCCTTCATGCTGCAGTTTCTTCATTGTCAGAACTCGATGTTCTGTTCTCTTCGGAAGCTGCAATCTTGCACTGATTTTGATTGAACAATGATCAACCTAGATCCGGTCTTGCAGGACAACCTTGATCTCTTGGTGTTCTAGCAATTGGCATGCATCTAACACAAGCTCATCTGCTTATGTTTCCCTCCCTAGCCTTTGCTCTCGTCCAGCCAAGTTGTACTATACACCTGTTCAAGCTTGTACTGATGGGAGATCGGTAGGAAAGATGGAGTCTGCCATACCTCTGCATTACGAGGACCACATAATCATTGCTCCCTAGCTCATGTTTGCCATAAAAATTATGTTGCCATCTGCAACCACGGTGAAATCTCCATTGAATGCAGAATAAAAAAAAAACAGAGAGATGAAGTATCGAATTTAAATTTCAGAGAGATGAACCAAAATGCTGACGCAAAGGTCAAAGCTTTACTACTCAAGGGCGTGGAATTCTTCAAATTCAGATATGTAACTCATGGCCAGTTTAATTACTGGTACAGTTCAGTTCTTGTGATTTTGTTCACTACATAAGCAGTCGATTGCCGTTAC